CACCAACCTCGAAGTCGAGCGGCCGCGACTGATGTACTTCGACGGTTGCGACGGCGTCGAGGTGCGCGACGTGACGCTCAAGGACTCGGGCTTCTGGAACCTGCACGTCTACCGTTGCAAGGGCGTCGTGCTCGAAGGCGTCACGATCACCGCGCCGCACGGCGACCCGCCGAAGATCACCGGCGACGCGCAGCCGTGGGACGAGGTCTCGATCGATCGCGCGCCGAGTTCCGACGGCATTGATGTCGACAGCTGCCAGGACGTCGTGATCCGTCGCTGCACGATTTCGGTCGGCGACGACTGCATCGCCCTGAAGGGGACCAAGGGGCCGCTGGCGATGGAGGACGCTTCGAGTCCGCCGGTCGAGAATGTCGTCGTTGAGGACTGCGACTTTCAGAGCGGCCACGGCGTGCTGACCTGCGGCAGCGAGGCGACGATCGTCCGCAACGTCGTCGTCCGCGACTGCCGCGTCGGGCCGGCGATACCGCTGGTGCGGCTCAAGCTGCGCCCGGACACGCCGCAGTTGTATGAGAACCTCGTGTTCGAGCGGATCACCCTCGACGGCGCGCAGGCGATCTTCGACGTCAAACCCTGGACGCAGTTCTTCGACCTCCAGGGCGCCGAGCCGCCAAAGTCGGTGGTCCGCGACGTCGTCGTCCGTGGCCTGCGCGGCACGGTGCGGTCGCTCGGCGAGCTGCGCGGCAACGAGGGGGACGAGATCAAGAACGTCACGCTAGAGGACATCGAGGTCGAGGCGCGCGGCAGCCGCCTCCGTGTTGGCGATGTCGAAGGACTTGTCTTCAAGGACGTGGTCGTCAACGGCGTCCCCTACGAAGCGGAAGGCGCCGAGCATGAGTGAGCGTGCAGTGACGCCCAGCGGGAAGGCAAGACACGTCCTTGGCGTGCGAGGCGTCGCTGTTGCGTTGGTGCTGGCGTCGATGATCACTGCGGCGCGCTCGGCGGAGTGGTACGTCTCTCCCGCGGGGAGCGACAGCAACACGGGCGCGATCGATTCGCCCTTTGCGTCGATCGCCCGCGGCCAGCAGGCGGCGTCGCCCGGCGACACGGTCTGGCTCCGCGGCGGCGAGTACCGTTACTCCGGCACGACCGGCAGCGCCAACGCGGTGCTCTTCAACAAGAGCGGCGCCGCCGGCGCGCCGATCCGGTATTTCGCCTACCCGGGCGAGACGCCGGCGTTCGACTTCTTCGATTACCAGCCCGTCCAGCGCATCCGCGGCTTCAGCGTGCAGGCCGACTGGCTTCACTTCCGCGGCATCGAGATTCGCGGCGTGCAGCAGGTGATCACCAACGTGAACGAGTCGTGGGCGATCCGCGTCGAGAACCGCGCGGACAACAACGTCTTCGAGCGGCTCAACCTGCACCACAACGAGGGCCCGGGGCTGTTCATCGCCGACGGCGGCAACAACCTCGTGATCAATAGCGACTCCCACAACAACTACGACCCCGACCGCGGCGGCGAGAACGCCGACGGCTTCGGCAGCCACTCGAACGACCCCGGCAACCGCTTCGTCGGCAACCGCGCCTGGAACAACAGCGACGACGGCTTCGACTTCATCAACTCTCCCGCGCCGGTGGCGCTCGAGGACTCGTGGTCGTGGCGCAACGGTTACATCCCGGGGACGCTCACCCCGGCGGGCAACGGCGCCGGCGTCAAGGCGGGCGGATTCGGTCTCAATTCGGCGACCTTCCCAGCGCCCGGCAGCGTCCCGCGCAACCTCATCGAAGGGAACCTTTCATTCAACAACCGCGCGCAGGGCTTCTACGCCAACCACCACCCGGGCGCGATCGAGTGGATCGGCAACACGGCGTTCGGCAACCCGCGCGGCTTCGACCTTCTGAACGACGTCGAGCCCGAGACTTGGCCCGCCGAGCACTACCTGCGGAACAACGTCTCGTACGGCAACAACCAGAATCTGATGAACGCCAACGGGACGCTGATCGACGACGAGAACAACACCTGGAACCTACGCGCGGTCACGGCGGACGATTTTCTCAGCACGACGCCCAGCGGGGTGGACTCCCCTCGGCGGGCGGACGGATCGCTGCCGGTGATCGACTTCATGCGGCTGGCGCCGGGGAGCAATCTGATCGACGCCGGCGCCGCGCTGGGCCGGCCGTTCAACGGACTGGCGCCCGATCTGGGGGCGTTCGAGTCGGGCTTCGCCGGCGACTTCAACGCCGACGGCAGGGTAGACGCCGCCGACTACACGTTCTGGCGCGACCGGCTCGGCCCGGTCTACTCGGCGACGGACTACGCCGTCTGGGTCGCGAACTACGGCACGCTGCAAGCGTCGATCCCAGCGGCGGCGGTCCCCGAGCCGGCGTTCGGGGCGGCGATCCCGCTGCTGGCCATCGTCTGCCGCTGCGGACGGCCGATCCGCTAGGCCTAGCGCCAGATCGCCGAGGATGGCCCCTACGGGCCGCTTTGGGGGAATGTGGACAAATGTATCGACCCAGGCCTGCGATCGAAATGCAAGCCATTAAACGGGGTCGCCCTCCGCTGGCGGCGCCGGTGAGAGAACGCCGGAGCCGTCGGCGCCAGCCCTCGGAGTTGCGGCGCGACTCGTACTCAACTCCGTGGGCTAGCATCCCGAGTTAGAAGTTCGTTCCCAAATTAAGCGGCTTTGGAATGAGGCTGGGATCAGAGATTTCACCACGACGGGCACGAAGGACACGACGGCCTGCTCGCCGGGGCTTCGTTAAATCAAGAG